ACCCATCAAAAGAAAAGCTTTGCAGCTCTAGAACCTTACAGTTTATTCAAAGAAGAAGAAAAATAAAGAGATGTCATCTTCAACAACTATGCAAAGATAGCAAATGAACCTTTTTCAGAACCAAACTAAAGAGAAAATTCTTCAAAAATACTAAGATAGTGTTAAATCTAACAAATAAATAAAAGTTGAGCATGCAAAGATATTACCTAAATGGTCATGGCCTTTTTGTTAGACTCAAGCTAGCTTTTTATTAAAACAAAAATAAAATAAAGCAAAACTTAAGATCAAGAATAAATCTAACAAAAAAAGAAGTTTAAAAAAAATCTAGATAAATAAGAGATGGAAAAGAAAAAGGATAAACTTTAGAATACCTTTGACAACAACTTTTTGCTTTTTCAAGTTCTTTTCATGATCTATCTTAAAGTTTTGCCCATTTCATCCTCTCATGGTGGATGATAAGATAAGGGAAAAAACGTTTTGACCAAAAAATGAAAAAACCACCAAAGAAAATTCCAAAAGAAGTAAAAACAAAGCATAAAAAACAAACCAAACCAAACCAAACCCATTCAAAAAGATAAAAAAAACCATGGGAAGCCAAACCCCAAAAGATCGAACACATGGTAACCCTATAATCTTTCAAGATGCTTTTTTATATATAGTAATATAAATATAGATAGTATAAATTAGTATTTTTTTTATAATAGATATGACACCTGGGTAATATGTTTTGTTATACTAGATATTTTGGCTTTTATTTTATTTTATTCTTAATAAAAAAATTTACTTCAAATTCTAGCTTCTATTTTTTTTCAAATTGAATTTCTCTACATAGTTATGGGTTTTTAAACTAAACTTATATGATTTATATTTATATAATTAGTTATGTTTTATATCTTAGCCTTTTTTTTTTTTTTACTAAAGAGCGGTTGCCCACTTTACACTATATAAACTTATAATCTAAACATTTCATTAAGATCACCATGCAAAAACTTAGGTAAACATCTAGATGAAAATAAAGCAATTGAACTCCAAACTTATTTTCCTAAACCAAGTTAACTTTAAAATCCGTATAAAAATTAGATTCTTTATACATTTGATTTAGAAAACAAATCCAATCCCTCTTTATCAAATTCTTACCCTCATAAATCACTTGATAAATAGGGTCTTTTTCATTTGGTGATTGCAAAATCTTTTGAATGGTTAATAATGAATCTGATTCAGCAATAATATTTCTACAACCAAAATCTCAATCCACCAACATACATGCATAGATAGCATAAATTTTTGCCTTAGTAATTGAACCATGATCCAATCTCCTAGTGAACTCAAAAAGCCAACCATCTCGATTATCCTTGCGTAAGCCCCTTGTAGATAATTGACTTGGATTCGATTTAGCAACAAAATCAACATTCAATTTAACAAACCCTTTTGGAGGGCGCTTCCATGCAATATAACAAATCTACTTAGAAGTAGAACAAAAATTGACAGCCTTATAATCAATAAACCCTCTAATAGAAGAAAAAATTTTTTCTAAGTGTTAGAGGGTCAGATAAGACCATCTTAAAAAATACTTTTATTCTTCCAAATCCATATTTGCTAACATACAAAATAAAAAAGAATAGATCATGATATATTACCCTCCACTAAGACTCCATTTTTACAGCAATTAAAATTCAACCAATCTTTCAAAAATAGAAAATTGAAATGATCTAACCTTGCACCATGCATCCCATGGGCTAAGATAGCTTGAGACTCATAACAATCTCTAGGCACATGCAATACATCTTCCACCTTCGCATCACATCTTGGACACTTAGCTGAATTCGAGAGTCATCTTTTAACACAATCCTACTTTGTTAGCAACTTCTTATGCAAAACCAACCAAAGAAAATGCTAGATCTTTGGGGGTAAATCATGTTTCTACAAGTGCTTTCAATAGAAATCTGAAGACAAATCACCCTTAATAAGGTGATATGTTGATTTCATCGTGAAAATCCTACTAAGAGAAGCTGTCTAAATTGTTCTACCAAACTCAAAAAGAGTTTAAAGAATTAAAGAAATTTGATTAACAGTGTCTTTCTACAAAAAAATTAGCTATGACTAGTCCCAATTGCCATCGACATCCAAATAATCATTAATCATATCATCATTCCTGTCCATCGATACACTATTATTTATGCTCTTAATTAAAGTTTTTCCACCAACCAATTTATCATACCAAGAGGATCTACTATGTCCATTATAGATTAAACAAGAACATCCATTTTCACCATCTTTTTACTCGAACAAATACTATGCCATGTGAAAAATGTTGTGCCCTTTAATGAACTTTGTTAAAAAAAAGAATTGCCTTTCAAATATTTAGACCATATCACCCTAACCCAAAGACCAAAATCACATTTTTCCAATTTCCACCCAAATTTAGTAAGTAAGACAATATTCATATCAGTCATTTTCTAAATGCCTAATCCACCAACAATCTTGGGTTGACAAACTTTATCCCATTTAAGTAAAAGAACTCTTTTTTTATCCTCGATAGAATCCTAAAAAAAATTCCTACTAATTAAGGGCATCAATACCATTTGCCACCTAAACTGATAATTTCACTGTTTACATAGTATAAATTAGGGGTTTAATCAATTAAATTTGAGTCAATATAGTATTAAGCTCGAGCTCAAGATCGACTCTAAATTCGAGGCTCAAAACTCAGCTCAAACTCATCGAGTTTTTAGCTCGAGCGAGTTTTTAGCTCGAGCTCGACTCGAGATAAAAATTAGCTACTCAAGTTCGCTTGATTAAACTCAATTAACATATAAAAATAAGTTTGATTTTTATATTCGATAAAAGCTCAATTATTTGTATTCAAACTTGAACTTAAGTTCAAGATATTTTATCAATTAAAATATAAAAGCTGAATTAAGCTCATGAGTTACTCGAGTTGGATATAAAAATACTCGAACTCGACTCGATCAATAAGTTGAGTTACTTGAACTCAAGCTCGACTCAATAATAACCAAACCGAATTTAAGTTTTATTTGAATCAAACATGAATAATTTACGAATACTAATGTATCATTTACACTCTTAATATAAATGGTTACTGTACTAGTCACCGATTGCACTAATGTAGTAGTTCTTGCTAACGAGAGTTGAGTAGCTTTCCATGATGACAATCTCTTTTTAATTTTCTCCAATAAATATTGAAAATTATTCCCCAAAAACCCTTTGAGAATGAACCGGCACCCCCAAATAAGTACCAAAATACATACAATGTCTCATCCCCTAGTGTACTCGAATATCATCCACCAAATCCAAAGACACATTAAGAGATGTAAAAAATTTAAACTTACCAAAATTCACTTTTTGCCTAGAGATTGAACAAAAGGCATTCAAACCATCAATAATTACCTAGCATTGCCTCACCGAAGCCTTACCAAATAAAATTAAAGCATGAGCAAAAAAGATATGGGATGATAAGGGACCACCTCGAGACAGCGAAATCCATCTACTTTCTCCTTTACCAACCGCCACCTCAATCATATCAGTGAATTTTTGCAAACATAGAACAAATAGATATGAAAAAAGAGGGTCACCTTGTCTAATCCTTCTAGTCGGCTTAAAGCTAGATGTCTTCTCACCATTCCACAAAATACTCATCTCAGTAAAAGTAAAGCAAATAGATAAAGGAAGCCCAAATCTTATAGTAACCATCGTAAAAAATCCCAATTAAGTCGATCATAAGCCTTTTGTAAATCAACTTTCATAATCATTTCACCCTCTTTCCCACGCTTCCTACACAAAGAGTGCACCGCCTTTTGGACAATTACAATATTATTAGTACTTTCTCGACTTTACTCAGTTAGAGCAATGATATCTAATAAAAAGGATATGAGTCTACTCACTATAATTTTGGCAATTAACTTCACTGATACATTACCCAAACTTACAGGTTTAAATTGGTTCACCCTCTCTAGAAGATCCACTTTGAGAATTAAAACAATCAACACCTTGCTTAGAGATACATCAAAGTGACCCTTCCTAAAAGCCTAGCTTACAAAGCTGCACTCTGCGCTCTAAACCACGTCCCAATTTGATTGATAGAAACCGGCTTGAAAACTATCTGGACCTGGTGCTTTAAACGGAGCCATACAGAAAAGAACCCCATGTATTTCCTCATTGTGTGGAACATGCATAAGCTCATTTAATTGATGTTCATCAAAATAAATTTTTGACTTGACATACCTCCTCAAAGTTATCAGCCAAAGCATCTGTCATGTAAGCCTGTTTAAAAAGTCCGTCACCATAGTACATAACTCCCTCTGCTCCGTACACCAAGAGCCATCATCATTCTTCAACGATAAGATTCGGTTTCTATTCCTCCTCACCACCGTGGACATATGAAAAATTTTGTGTTACGAACCCCAAATTAAACCCAGTTCGACCCAGATTTTTGAAGCCACATATTCTTCTCTTATAATGACACTATGGTATTCAGAAAGAAGCTCCTACTCTGGTTCGTATAAAAAAGATTAATTCGGTCTCTCCTCAAGGGATCGTTGAAGACCCTCCAATCTAGCCAGCAGTTGTATTTTTCGCTTAAACACATATCCAAAGACAGAGGAATTCCACGCCTGCACTGCTTCTCGAAATTATATATTTTCCTCATAAATGGTTTGTAAATTTGTACGCGGACCTCATTTCAAACATTTAACTTTAGGGAGGGATTAAATGAAAACATAGACTCTAATTCTACTAATCTCACAAATAATTCTGTTCATTTTTTTTCTTATGCTACGATGCTGGTTGAGCATCATCGAATTCAAATGAGCAAGCACTACTAATCTCACCAATAATTCTGTTCATATTTTTTCTTATGCTATGATGCTGGTCAAGCATCATCGAATTCAAATGACCAAGCACATTTAAGCAACGAAATTGATGTGCAGCCATAAGCCGCACCTAGGACTACAAAATCGGTTAACGGATTGATTGAAACTTGAAAGGGTCATGCAGCTGCATGCTCAGCCGTGCTTCTGAGAGTCAAGTGGGAGAGTGCTGTATATCCCTACTCACTGCCCAAAAATAAAAAGCTAAAACATCGTACGCATCGCCTTACCACGTGGTTTTACCTTTTCAGCACTATAAATGTTGACACTTGCCAAGTGCACTCTTCACATCTTTTTAATTACTATTAAGACCGCAAGATTTGCTCTAAAAATTGTCTGCGTGTGAGAGAGGGATCCAGCTAGGGGAGAGTAACAAAGGAGATCGAAAGAGATGGAACGTGGAGGCTTCCATGGCTACCGCAAGCTCCCCGCTAATACCTCCGCAGGTAAAGTATAACATATATAATTTATTATCCACACACACACACGAATAGCTTGAGAAAATGGTGAAAATTACAGCCGAACTCTGACTCTTCTTGGGTGTTTTTTTATTTTATCAACATGGAGCAATGTATCTTTATAGTGTATTCTTTGCAATGATTCTACCCGTTTCATTCGTATTTCCTCTTTCTCTGTTGGTTTAGGAGGGACCTCAAGTACTCTAGTATTGGGATTATCTCTTGCATGCCAAATGAAACTTAGGTTAATTTCTGTCTTTGTCCTGGATTTGTCACCAATAATCCAGCACATAACTCTTTTAATACTAGGATATATATATATACATATATATATTAATCAATATTTGCAGATGGTTTCTTTTGTTGTTTCTTTTGCCCTTGTTTCTTATGTATTTTTCGATGGTCGTCGATGATCTCCTTAGATGAGAATGCCAATCCTTTAATTGCCCATAACTTCAATATTCTTTGCTTTAAGTTCTCAGTAGCATTAGTATCATCTTTTGCATGCCACTGCTTCATTTTCTTTTTGGAAACGACCGCTGCTTCTTAATTTATTTCCATCGTCACACATAGTACGTACTATCTCTTTCTGTCTCCCTCTGTTTCCATAAAATATATTCAAATATATTTATCTTGGTGGAAGTTAAGTACTGCGCATCTGAGTTGCAGCTACATGAGTTGAATTAGAATATAGTGTTGGTACAATTTCACCATTGTTCAAATACTTTCCTTTCTTCCTTCGTCCTCTCATAACTTCACTGGGCGTACAAGAAGTTCTTGCTCTTGCTCCATTTAGACTTTAGTGTTTGGGCCTGGTCAGTGGTCAAGACGATGGAAATTGATTATCAAAATGGCTGACGAAATTGGAAACACATGAGTGTGTACAAGTGGCATGCAAAACTTGACCCAACAAAAACAAGTGTCGCCCATGCATTTTTTGGCATCAGGAAGCGTGCAGTTCCCCATTGTTTCTATTCACGCTCTAAGCCAATGAATAAAACAAGTAAGACTGGTTCAAAATTTGAAAAGTCACCAAAATGTCTTTGATGGGCCCTTTACCTATATAAAACTAAATAAACAAGCAAGACAGCACTGCAAGATTCTTTTTAAATACAAAAGCAAAACTTCAAGGAGAGTTTCAAGTCACTTAGGTCTAGCAATAGTTAAAGCTTTTAGCGGGCCTCAAGTCCAGGCTTCCAACGACATTTTTAGTGTCATTGCCTTCCCTCGATCTCTTACATTTGTAGTGTTCGTAATCGTAGCCCTCTATGCGGGCGGAGGAAAAAGGTCCACCTATTGGTATGGGCTCAGTTAAACCAAAAGTTAAACCCATTGGGTCACTTGGTTGGGAGAACCTGATCATTTTCATCCTCGCCTTGTCTTCGTGTGGCTAGTGTTCATTCAAATCTTTCTGCGAGACAAAAAAGAAAAGTTCTTATTAATATCTTTCACAGCCCTCGGCAAATCTATTGTATAATTTGACATAGTCCTTATCCAACAGTAGAGTATTCTTGCACTTACATTAATGCAATAAATTTGGTTCAACCATTCATATATGTCCTACTCTATGGCCAGTAATGCTACGACTACCACTGGAAAAAGGGTTAGATTTGAAATAAATTTGACCTTTAGCAACATTTCAACTTATATATATGTATGCTAGTAAAGATCTTTTCTACATTTTTTTTCCCTTCATTAACAGCCTGTTTCTGTATATGTATGCTTGGTTATATTATAGTGTAAAGTTTTTAGCAACATTTTTTTATAGAAATGTAACTAATTAAAAGATCAATTGCATACACTAACAGAAGACTGTGGTTTTATAACTGCTAATGTGAAAAAAAAAAAAAAGGGGGCAAGAAAATCTGAATAATAGTAACATTTATTGAGTTTTACTGCGTATAAAGATTTTGCCTGTAGTGTTTGAAATAACTAACTTATAAAGCATAACATGCATTGCGTGTTCCAGGATTGAAGGGGCCAGAGATAAACATAAGAATGGCCGAAGCCAACCATACAAACAACCACTCAAACTCGGATGACAACGAGTGCACTGTGAGAGAACAAGACCGCTTCATGCCAATTGCTAATGTTATCAGGATCATGCGCAAGATCCTCCCTCCACACGCCAAAATCTCTGATGATGCCAAGGAAACGATCCAGGAATGTGTGTCCGAGTACATCAGCTTCATTACTGGCGAAGCCAATGAGCGCTGCCAACGTGAGCAACGCAAGACTATCACTGCCGAGGATGTGCTGTGGGCAATGAGCAAGCTAGGGTTTGATGACTACATTGAACCCTTGACAGTTTACCTCCATCGCTACCGTGAAGTGGAGGGTGAACGTGGTTCAATAAGAGGTGAGCCACTGGTGAAGAGAGCAGTTGATTATGGAGCTTTAGGTGTTGCTGCTTTTGCACCGGCCTTTAATATGGGGCATCCGCATGGGTTCTTTGCGGGTGGAGCCATGGGAGGATATCTCAAGGATGCATCCAACGCAGGCTCGTCACAGGCTGCTGTGGCAAATGGGGAATCATACGGGCAGCATAAATGAGGGTGCAGCAACAATAAGGAATGGATGCATGCTGGTGGGCAAATGTGACAGTTCTAAATTAAGTCAGTGAACTTTTATTTTGTTTAATTGTTTATGTTGAGTTGGTGCTGTTGCAGATCCAGACCTCTGCTTCATTTGCATCTTATATAAATATTTAAGGTGCTTTTATTATCCATGTTTGACTTAAACCTTATAATCAGTATGGCCTTTAAAAACTTTTCTATTAATTCTTTGCTTTTGAGTATCTATACAATATATAAAAGCTATCCCTCTTCAATTTCTCTTCCATTTGATGTCCATTCATCAATTTTACTATTTATTTCAAATAAAAAATCAACACATTTCATTGCCATACCAATTTTTTAAATATTATTATATATAATTATTTTTTTTTCTTCAAACTAACTTGTGTGACATGTCCTTTTTAAGACAAAATTGAAAATTTTTTACATGTCTATGGTATTCTTGACATTTGACAATTTAAGATGATAACTTTTTACCACCTTAATATCGCTGCCGCCAACCACTATTATATTTATCATTACCACCATTGAGATTATCATCACTCCCACAACCATTACTATCACATCATCGCTCCCACCACTGCCACTGTTATAATCACCGTCAATCACCAAAAAAACCCTAAACCACCACAGTTGGACCCAAAAACTAGTTTCAAAAAAAATTCCAAAAAAAAAAAAAAAAAAAAAACAGGACAAAATCTTAAATATCTAAATACATAAAAATAATAATAACAAAAGATAAGATAAAAAATCAAGATTCGAAATTCAAGAATGCCTAATAATCTGTATGGTTCTCAAGAACACGAAGGGTAGCAAAATATGTTACATTCTAGATTTAAGCAAAAAACTCACCTTCAATGTGCTAAATTTCAAGTGGTAGCCACCATATTTCCTCAAATCCAAATATCGAAATCAAATATCTCAATCCACAGTAAATAAAAAAAAAAAACAGAAATGGAAAAATCTAAGATTCCAAAGCAATAGAAATGGAAATCTAAAGATATTCAACAGAAAAATAGAAACTTTTGGATTCAAACTAATTTTCAATTTCTCACATTTTCCTCATATCCAAACTTTTCTTACATCAAAACCCATAATCAAATCTATGGATAATGGGTAGTTTTTTTTACAAAAAGTGAAATTTTTAGTAAAAAATAAGAAAATATAATAAGGTAAAAGAGAAACCAAAGAAAGGAGGATATAAAACAACTACCGCCATAACCACCATTAATAGCCTTTATAACCAGTGTTAATTGCTTGAATCACCACTAAACTCAACCTCCTTACCATCACTATTAGTCTTTACCAAACACTATAACTAATATGTAAGTATCATCAAATCCTTCAGCATGTCAACAGTTAAAAGAAAAAAAAAGCCAAAAAAAAAAAACACAATATATCATAATAACAAAAAAATTAATAAAAAAATAGAAGATAATAGAAATAAGAAAAAGCAGAGGTTTAGATTTTGTGGTTTTGGATTTAAGAGGAAGTTGAGCAAAAGGAAGAAGAAAAGCAAGAAATTAAGAGAAAAAAATGAGTTTTAGGCTTTAGATTCTTGAATTCTAAATTTTTTTAGAGTTTTTCTTTTTGAAAAAGAATCTATAAAAAGCTAGAAAGAGTTGAAAGAAGGAAGATTATAAAGTTTTCAAGTAAGCGACAAGGAAGATTAATAGAATCTAAATAAGGTTAAGGTTAGGAATTTTGTTTATAAAGAGATAACTGAGAAATGACGCTAAAGAGTAAGAGAAAATATATCAAATGAAGGATTAGAGTCTTTTTAGGTATTTTTACTCAAGTGTTAAACCACACCATTTAAACTAATGAAAATACATGGAGACTAAAACATCTGTTGGGTAATCAGGTTGGTTCAAAAAAAAAGTGATGACCATTAGCAAGGGGCTGGCCCATTTTAAGTAAATTATCCCAATTCAAAAATAAATACTTCATTTTATTTCATTTTTTATAAATAATTTCAATTCATTAAAAATATTTTTTTAACTTTTATTTATGTATATTTATTTATAGTACATGTTACTTTAAATAATAAAAAAGATCATTTGAAAATTTTACAATGTTGAAAACTATATTGAAAATGTTTTCTTAAGTTAAAAAATAATTTAAGTCTAACTTTATTAAGTTTAAGAGAGTTTTTACTATTTATTTAAATAAAAATATTTTAAATAATCATAAAAATAATAATTCATTATTTTCAAAATCAATTTTTTTTACTTTTTTATTGAGAAATGAAACATTAATAAAAAAATAATTATAAGAAATAATATAAGGTTTAACAATATAATCATAAATCAATGTTTTAAATCTATCACAAACGCTACTTTAAAGAATATATATATATATGTATATATATATATATATATAAACACACACACACACATACACACACACAATATAGTAATCCATGCGTTGTTGTGGTTTATCATTTTATTATCTACCATATACTGCAATGGTAAAAGATAAATCTCAAAAGGTAAAATAAACATGCTTGACATAGCTATTATAAATCTATGTTTGTATTAACAAATAGTTCATAAACATCTCAAACATAAAATTATTGAAAAAATGTCCATAACATATAATCAATGTTTCTTTCAACAATAAAATCTATAAACTTAATTGTAAGCTATGTATATGTTATTCAACTTGCAATGATTAGCAAAGGTTATCTTTAGTTAAAATTTAGTTGTTTCCATGCATTAAATTTGTGATTTAGTAAGTCTATTTAAACAAAGTATATAAGTTATATATTAGTCATACTTTTCTTGCAAGGGTTCTTCAATGGCAATCTCTTTTCCTTTCCTATTTAAGAAAGCATGAAATGTTGTATCATTATTTTTTAAAATATGTTTCTAATAGAAAATTTATTCAATGACAACATACCTTGTTCTTGACTTTTCAGTTGGTGGTTCTTCATTGAACAAATAAGTAGGAAATGTAAAAGGCATTAAGTCGACAAAAATGTAAGAGACATTAAAAGCTACATCATTAAATAGACAGAAATGTAAAAGGCATTTAAAGCTAAGTAATGAAATTGGGGGTTTAGCGTTTTTCAAACTTGTTTGATGTCATCATGAAGGCAAAAGTTGAGGCCATGATTTTGCATTATTGTTTATTTTTTCTATTGTAACCATAGCAATGGTCTTATTAGCTATTGAAATGCTAAGCAAATCCCCATTTTAAACCATGATTTCTTAGACCAAGTCTCACACGATTAAGGACATTGAAACTTGAAAGAATAATAATTTTTTTATATAAATATTTCCAACATGGAATGGCAGTCATCAAAGCTAAAACATTATTAGAAAAATAATATGGGAAAAATCACAAACACTAACTAATGACAAAAGAGACAATTCCAATATATGTGCATAACAAACATAAAACTTGAAACTATTCTATAAAACAACTTTTTCAACATAATCACATGATTTTGGATCCAAATATATCCCAAATATAAAGAAAATTTGAACCTTTAATCAAAACCCAAATCATGCAAGATTAATAACACAAACACCTTTTAGACACATTTCAAATATCTTATAGATTTTAAAAGCGAAAATGTCACAATGGGTAAAAATAAAAAAATCATCTTTTCCAAAATCAAAAGAAATTCAATTAAAAATAATTAATATTTACAATTGATAGGGGAAATGAATGAGTTTTTCTAAGGAAAATATTTATTCGAATACAATATACAAAAAAAAAAACATATTCAAATTAAAATCTCAATATTATTTTTTATCTTGAAATAACCATGGATTTAATAATTTATTTTACGATGACCATCTTTTTGGATAAGTTGTCTATAGGTTAAGGGATACGGAAACCAAAAGAAAAGGATAATATATTTCAATTGGAAGTAACATACCTTTGATGAAATATTCTTCATGGAAAGGGTGCTGAAAAAAGAAAGTACTCAACATATCATTAGTAGAGTCCAAAATGAAAAAACAAAAACTTAAATCCAATACAAAGAACAAATTTTTTTCAAAAAGTTAAGTGAAAAAATATTCATACTTAAAATCAAAGGTTAGATGAATGGGTTTTTCTTGGAAAATGAAAATTGAAAGCCCTAAATAGATAATAATGAATAGGGGAGACAACTGGTTACTTACATGAAGATTTTGAATAGTAAAAATTCATCTCCTCTCAAACTGTAAAAACTTTTTCGAAAATCTTTTATCTTTTGAATAAAGAAATAGAACATTTTTTTTTAATAAATGAAAGAGGAATATAGGTGCTGAAAAGATAGTAGGTTCAGAATTGAAAGTGAATCATTCTTAGCTTTAAACCCTAAAGGATGAAAAACATGGAAAGGGATAATTAATCTTGAATGACTTGGCAACTTAAAATGAATTTATGACCACTTAATGGTTTTACATGGCAAATGATGGCTGCATATGTGGTAGTCCACATGTTACAATTCTAAGCAATAGGGGATGAAAATATATGTATGTTAGATATATATATATATATATATATATACATAAGTGTAAATGTTGCATATATTTTTACCTTTAGATCAAAATTTATAACACTTATACTTAACTATTTTATTCAAATATCAAAAAATATGTAACGCTCACACTATTATTAATGGATCCCTCTATTTATATGTATATGATATTTTATTACACCACGCAAGATTTTTTTTAAAAAATTATAGAGTTACCAATGTAAAAAACTACAAATCATTTTAAATTTGCAAATTTTTCTAGATTTTTTACTATATATTATTATTTATAAATATTTAAAAAAAACAACCTGAGTCAAAGAGGCTAATATACTAGTATATATATTATTAGAATCCAATTCCCTCTTTTCTTTTTGATTAATTATAATTTATTGTGAATATATTAAATGAAATAAGGATTGTAACCAATCTATTTGAAAAAGTGAATTAACATGTATATATAAGCCTTTTGCTAAAAATGAATAAAATAATAAATAATAAAA